ATATGCAAGCTTTGAAAGCGAATCGTCGAACATTATCTTAGCATGCCGTGAGGTTATGTGAATATATTCAGAATACTCTTATGAACCTCAGGTGGTCTTAAACTTGTCAGAGCATAAGTCTTGTGACTCCCTCCCTCCTCCCTCTCTCCACTCACCTGCTCCCGGTCCCTCCTGCCCATGCCCCCTGCCTTGCCTTAACATCCTTATCATCTGTATCATCCTTATCATCTTTATCATCTTCGCTGTTCCTCTTGTTATCATTTCCTATCGCAACATCAAGAAAGCACTGGCAACAGATCGTCGGCAAAATTTGGTCCAATCCTCTCTGCAGTCATCTCCTTACAGTAACCAAGGAAATTACTGCGGAGAGGCTTATACCAGAATTTGCCGAGGAGCTGTTTCCGGAACTTCCTCCAAAATCGTGTGTGCATCATCTTTGTTTATTATCTTTAGCACATTTGTGTGTCATCTTTATCATCTTTGCTTGCCTGACGAAATTTGGTCCAATCCTCTCTGCTGACATTTCCCATCAGTAACATCAAGAAAGCAATGCGAACGGCTAGTCGGCATAATTTGGTCCAATCCTCTCCGCTGTCATTTTCCCACAGGTAACCAAGGAAATGGCAGCAAAGAGGATTGGACCGAACTTTGCCGACGAGCTGTTACTGGGACTTCTTCCAATATCTTGTGTGTATCATGTTTGTGTATTATCTTGATCATATTTGTGTGATCTTTATAATCTTTGCTTGCTCAGTTATAAGTTTATAGGTGTTGTTTCCATTCAATGTAGATATGTGTGTTCACTTCTCCTTGTTACTGGGACTTCTTCCAATATCTTGTGTGTATCATGTTTGTGTATTATCTGAATCATATTTGTGTGATCTTTATAATCTTTGCCTGCTCAGTTATAAGTTTATAGGTGTTGTTTCCATTCAATGTAGGTATGTGTGTTCACTTCTCCTTGTCCTTTGGTTCTTCTGGGCCACGAGCAAAGGAGAGGATTGAACCAAATCTTGCCGACGAGTTGTTCCCGGAACTTCTTCCAACATCTTATGTGTGTCATCCTTTGTTATTATATTTATCATATCTGTGTGATCACAGTTCTTGTCAACGTGCTGGGATTCTGGAGTTGATGTTAAAGTCAGAATATTGGAATCACAGCAAAGGAACGACAAAGACCAACGCAAAGCATCCAAGTGTACTATGTATGACTGTCCTGATCCTTATCCATCTGTTGGATCAAATACTGTACTCGCCCGCTTGCTTGTGACTTGATAGATGCCTGCTGTTGCTAGCAATCCATTACCGGCTACATGATGGCAACAAACGGATTGTCGCATAGGGTATTTGATACCACCAGTATGGATGCCGGTTGATAAGTCAGTCCTCCGAAATGAAACGAAATTCAATATTAAACTATATCTCACAGCATGTCTCAAACTTTTCGGAATTATGTTTGTGCAAAGTATAACTTATATATATATATAATATTTAGCTAGGGGTTTTATATTGTATATATAAAAGACTAGCTAAATAGACCCCAAAGGTATCGGGCTCATTATATATATATATATATGGTTTAGTAATAAGTTTGAAGGTTTAACCATTGACTTCTGTGGCTTTTTGGTGTAAACCCCTCATAGTACCTTTCCACTTGCTCTTGCTCCAGCAAGCGTCTTAGTAACCCTTAGTACCGGTCCGAATGCACAAGCTTCCACTCGACAAAGCGGTCCTCAGAGAGCTCCTAACAAGGTTGCGTACTCGCCAGAATAGGTTCCTCTAATTGGTCCGAAAAAGTTCTCGCTTAGAAATAGTTCTTAATTTGGGGTTACTATAATCCCTAGGAAACAGCTAGAAGTATAATTCTTGCTAGGAGCCCAAGTTCAGTATAGCCAAACCCGTAGTAGGGTTCGTGATAGGGTACCAAAAACGGCTCCTTTCAGCCTTCCTAGAAATGCTCTGGGATCACCGGATTCCTTATAATCCGAGGTCTTTGGGACCGGTGGTGTACCAGCGCCTGGTCTCGAATAACACATGGAGGTCTGGACTTGTGGATTTAGGAGTTGTGGGGTTAGGGTGTGGGTTTTGGTATTTGAACGGAGGTGTGGGTGCAAAGCAATTAGGATTTCGGCGTTGGGGGTTTAGGGCCTACTGTTAGGAAAATCGGCTGTGGACGAGATCTTTCACCATCATAGTATACCGGATGTCCTGCATGCGCCATCCACGTGCTGCCCATTTCCCTACCTACAAATCGAGCTCGATGCGTAGCAGCTTCCAGAAAAAGGTACCAGATCTTGCTTGAGCTGTAGGATTCAGGGTTTTATGCTTCTAAGGGTAGACCTTAAACCCTAAAGAAACGGCCGGCTTGGAACATGCGTGAACCCCAGACAGTTTCAGCATCCTCGGTTAACATACTACAAGAATAATACAATAGAGCGCAGTAGATGAAACGGTTGATGATGGAAACCCTGCAATACCTTCAGGACCCTAAACTATGGGAATTATGGTCTATACCTTTTTATGGGTACTGCAGGAGTGATATCATCAACTGTATGACACATTCTAGGTTTAACCAAGCCCTACATCGTACCCCGGAAAGTCATGGACAGTGGTCTTGGTGCATCTGGATGCCCGTGCCCTCGAGACAACGCAGACTTTCTGCCGTCCCACACCTGAAAATATCAGTCCTGAACGGGGCCCTAAACCCTAAGCCCTACGACAGCGGATGCGAAAGAGCCGACATATTTTGGCAAAACCTAAATAGCTGTCAGTGGAGAGAAGGTATTTTTATCCCTTGTTAAGCCTCTCTATCCAAGGTTGTCATATAGGCCAAATCTCTATTCCACTTATGATAAGGCCCAAAACCCTAAACCCTAATCCCAAAAATAAGGGCCATCAGGGTTTATGGGTTAAAGGCATTCTAAACAAGCCCACACCCCAAAACCTAAACTCCCTCAACGGACCCTAAAACCCTAAACTCCCTAAACCCTAAAACCCTAGGCATACCCAAACCCTAAAACCCTAAACTCCCTAAACAAACCCAAACCCTAAAGCCCTAAACTCCCTAGACAAACCCTAAAGCCCTAAAACCCTAGAGCTCTCCCTAAACGAACCCTGAAGCCCTAGAGCGCTCCCTAAACGAATCCTAAAACCCTAGAGCTCTCCCTCTTAGGTGGCTTTGGATGCCCCAAGTCGGCTTGTTTTCACAACTTTGCCCCAAGGGCATCGAGGCTCTTTGGGTACGGGGGGTTTGGGGTTTAGGGTTTAGGGTTTTCCCGAAAGCATCGCGAAGGGTTCTTCCGTGCGGAGCCCCGCAGAGAAAATACATAGAGAATACATGGGGTCAATCAAGTACACTTGACTTTACGAACACTTGACTTTATGACATTTGACTTTACCACT